GATAATATCAATACAATAATTAGATAGTGACTCTTGGAACACCTTTCACCACGTGCGACAAGGATGACCTTGCATATCTTTTAAAATATTCGTATGCAAGATTGACATGTGTCTGCCAAGAGACATTCGTTGCTATTCTCACATATGAGGGAGACAGATATGCGCTCTCCTCTTTTTTATCTGCAACCTAGGCTGTCCCCATGATGTGCCGTTAGGTTTTATTGACAAGGTTTGTCATAGGAAAATTTCAAAATGTATAATAAAAATCTTGTACTCTTTGTCTTTTACTAGGATTTTTAAAAGGACAATTTCAAAATGTATAATAAAAATATTATACTCCTTTTCTTTCTCTAGAGTTCTTGATTGACAGAGTTTTTTATAATAAGGTTTTAATAAGATATTCTTAAAGAGTCTTAAAAATATAATATTAAATGGATATTTATATTCCTTCTACTCTACTCTATTTATGTATATCTCATAAATCGATTTACATATAGATTTATTAGTCATATATCTCTTAGCTTATTTCAATGTGATTATAGTGAAATTTTTTATTTTTTTATTGTGTTTTGTTGATTATATATTCGCTTTCTAATTATTTTATTTTAATTTTATGTCAAATTTTTTATTTTTATAAAAATAAAGGTGATCTTTTACAAAGAAAAAATTCTAATTTCTTCTATCAAAACATCTAGTTACTATGATAATTATTTTTAATTTACTTTGGTTTTTATTAAAAAAAAATTGGTTTTTTAAATGAAAAATTAAATTAAAATCAGTTCAAATTGACCGGTTTCAATTCAGTTTGGTTATTTTAAAACAAAAACCAGTTTCATTTTGGCTCGGTTTTTTTATTTTCTCGGTTTGGTTCTTTTTTTTTAATTTCAGACTTATAAAACTAGACCCGCACCAGTTAATTTTTTAAAAATTCTAATTAATTTAATCAGGTTTTTCCATTATTCAGTTTTTTCAATTATTTTTTTTAGTTTTTTCAATTTAATTAATTTTTTGATTTTTTTTCTCATAGAGACTGATACAGCAAGGTCAATGCAATACCACCGAGCAGGACTTCCTGGCTATGGTGACTCACTATACTCCTCTTCAATGAAGGGAAGAATTTATCAACAACCAGAGAAAATAATCGGTGCGGTATGTACTGAGTCAAATCTGGAGATAATATATAGACGGCAAAGACGGTAATATTGAGAGAAAATATAAGCGATGCCGGAACACCCACGAAAACCAAATGCTTGAAACCCTATCGTCTAATTTCCTAAACCTTTATTTTTACAAAAGTGTTGTCAAAATCTGCAGTGAGAATAAATTGAATTTCTCAACTTTATATATAAACAGAACCTCAAAGTTCACTATAAAGAAACACTGAATGTTTCACCAAAAATTACTAGGTGATGGTATTTTTCTTAACATTCCATCTTTAAGGGTCCCAAAACGAGAAAATCGCCTAAACTTATTTACCTTCAACCTAATTGCAGGGACTTTTCTTGCTACAGCCTGCCATATCATTTGAACTGCATCGCCTTCCTTTGATGGATATTGGAACTCAAAGAAGTTTTCTACCTCTTTCAACCTCTGCCACATTCTAGTCCATTCATCCTTCTTAATACTCCTGACAAGGTTTATGAGGAACTTTTCTCTGACAGCATCTGAAGTGCGGACAAATATGCAGAATTGAGAGTAGTCAAGGACATCCTCATAAGGGAGCTCAATATCGTCACTGATTATGACCGGAACACAGTGGCTCGCAATGGCATCAAAGAGGCGGTTTGATGAGGGCGTGTCACCTGCTATGTTAAGGCAGAATTTGGAGGAGTGCATTCCTTGAGAAGCTTTGCTCACCCCATCCTTTTGTACACTACCGAACTGAAAATGCACGTCTTTTTCATCTTTTAGAGCATAAAATAATTCTTGCCGAGCAAAGCCACCCTGAGTGCGTGAAATCCAAAATTGAAGAATCAAGGAATAAGTAATGTAAAGCCAACCTACAGTGACGCATATAATAATAATAGTTCGATAAAAAGAAAAATACTGGATCATCTTAAATAGTTGGTTTTTCAGAATCTAATGAACATGAAATGTGTTTACGTGGCGGAAAACATTCAGCAAGTCAAATACGTCTTTTGACATTGTCAAAGAGCAAGCAAGGATTATAATGGCACAGTTTCATGAGATGCTTTGGTGTTTTTGGAGTTTATAACCACAACCAATCCTCAACAGCAGGCTGGAATAACTTCCACAAATGAACTCCATTCATGTGCATATGGCTAGTTCATTACATCTGTAAGAAGTAAACTATACAGATATCAAGTCCACGCTAGTTTCAGAGCCAAATATTCAAGTTTGCCAATTATTTTACCTCGACAGCTACATGATAAGATATGCATATAAAAAACATAGTAAGTTGATAAGCTGAAATCGATGCCTCAAAATAGAATAAATTATTATTTTATTGGCATGTACTTTGACACTTAATCCATGAAATTATCCTAATCTAAACAATCTCTGTGTCACAGAAAAAGAAACAACGAGGAGGGAACTGGGAAGTGCGTGCCAGTTTATGTTCTTAATACATAAAATTGTATCTATGGCTTATTTTTACGTTATGGAAAATGTCAAAAAGAAAATTTTGTGGCAGTTAAGTATTTATTGCAGAAGAAATTTTAAAGAACCAATTAACAGCAGAAATAGTAAAGAGGAAGAGAACATACATCTTTCCTGTATATGGCTCCTTGAAAATACAGCAAAGTCGGGCGGCTGTCAAAGTTAGAGGAGTCGTTGGCATAGCTTTTAATTACATGTTTGTATGGTGCAATCACATCTTTGCCAACATTTGCTATATTTGGAGAATACCTCCCAAAGTCTGCAAGTATGAACATTGCCGTCCATAGCTTCATCCTTGCATATAACATGCTATTTGGATGGTGAGCCAGAATGATATGGTCTCGCCCCCCAGACCTCTTCCATTCCTTTTGCGAAGTCACAAACTTGACCAACTTCTCTTCCAATGATTTGTTCTTGCTCTTCTTTTGGTGTGGATTCACCTTGGAATATCGGTTATAGCTTATAGAAGAAAAGAATGGCACAAATATAACATCAGCTTCACTAGAATTTTGAACTCTTACTGCACTACCAGCTCTAGGAATGCCCTGAATCTCTGAAGCAAGAAGATCCATTGTAAGCCAATATTCAATACTATGTTGCAAGTTCAGCCCACCAGGATATGCAGGCACTTTAGCTCTAAGATCAGGCCAAACACTACCCCCCTGAGGTTTCCAATCCAAGAGTCCAAAATGAAACTCAGAAGGCAAATCATACATGAAAACCTTAAGAACTTGTTTGCAATTATTATCAAAACTGTTACATTTCACATCTCCTAAATCATCTTTCTCTTGAGGTTTTTCTTCTCCTCCATCTCCTTCATTGTCTACAGGAATTGCTCGTGCTCGATTTCCAATCGAGGCTTCAACATCATTCCGATTCCAGGATGCGGAATTGCCATTATCAATCACAGAATTAAGTTTAGGATGAGGCAACAAACTAAGGTCAATAACTCCGGCACTGCCCGTGGAACGCAACATAAGAAACCATGACAGTATAAACAAGGCAGACACTAAAGAAAACAAGCAAAACATAGATTTCCTAGAAATAACCCCAAGGGATAATGAGGAGTGCTTCTCAGCCATTGCAATACAAATAATAATCCAACAAAATGAAAAGAGAGAGAGAGAGAGAATCAGCTATAATATCTTGTATCAAACATCACATTACTGCCAATATGATTGTCTATGTCAATCACATCGGCTAAAAGATCTCTCTCCCTCTACAATCTCTCCAATATTCTTCAAAAAAATTTAATACCCAACAAACCAAATCGCCTCTAGACTGCATAAAATAGATCAAAATTGATTTCCTCAGCCTACATTGGCTAGAAAGTGAAAAACCAGCTCAATGTCATTCAGAACAAAACCCACCAACAGAAAAAAAGACCAAAAACCACTCAAAAAGTGAAAAGATTAAAAACCCACGAAAGAAATCATATAGGAAGAACCAGAAAAACAAAAGGGGTGTTTCTTTGTTCGTTGTACACGGTGTATAGAAGCGTACCGTAGAAAATAAACGAGCACACACCAAAATTGGCCGTTGTTCTTCTCTCCCTCTCTCTCTCTGCCAGTTTTCTTTTGAGTGCAAAAACAAAACACAAAAGGAAGGACTCTGAAGTTAGCGTGAGGATAGGGTCTATCAGTAGAAGCGGGCTTTGCGCCTCTCTCTCTCTCGTTCTGTTCCCTCTTTCTTTGTCTTTTCCCTCTGCGTGTTTCTTTTGTAGAGTACTTGTTTTGGGCTATTAATGGCTTTCTGTTTTGAGTTTTTATTCACCCTTATTTATATCAAGATGTTATACATTGTAGTGTTAATTAATAATAATAATAATTAAGGGAAATAGTGATAGTAGTAGTTGTTGTTATCACACGCAAAACTCAGATTCTACAAGGAAATGGATAGCTTCTTTGGCCTCTTATCTTTAGCATGTTTTGTTACTAACAAGATTCTTTTGAGAAACGGATAGCTTGAGCTTACCTCTTTAAATTAGTGTTTATTTATGATTTTACTATTTAATAAAATTCATATTTGGATATGAAAATCCAAATAAAACAACAAATAGAATTTTATTGCTTTTTCCTCTAAAATTGTTCTTAATTTAACTATTTTAATGCCTGAAATTATAGTAATGGTTGTTTTTTAAAAAAAAAACTTACTTCAAAATATATGAAAATAATATTTTTTATTTTTTAAAATTATTTTTAATATCAAAACATTAAAACAATTCCAAAACAATAAAAATAAATTAATTTCAAACAAAAATAAATTTTTAAATATCACGAAACATGATTTCAACCATAAAAATAAACAGCTCAAGGACTTCAATTGAATAACAATTAGATATTCTTAAATTATTATTTCAAGTAGATATATTTTGAATATTCATAAGGAAAAAAAAAGAATTTGTAATAGAATTTAAACTTGATATAATCTATAAATAAATATGGATTTATGGATATATTAAATGTAAAAAAAAAAACCTTGTGTCGGATTATTTATTTAGTCTTTAAAGAAATTATTTGTAATTTGTTTTAGAGCTAATTTGATATTGCTATAGCGATTATTTTTTGAAGTGTTTTTATATTTAGAAATACATTAAAATAATATTTTTTTATTTTTAAAAATTTATTTTTGTCATCAATACATTAAAAAGTCAAAAAACAAAAAAAATTAAAAACATTTTCGCATTGCAAATAGAAACGATAACAATTAATTGCAATGCAACTCCAAGATAAAAAGAACAATAAAAATAGAAGTCTAGAACCGGAGGAAGACTTGGAAATTACAAGCATTTTCTCTATATAATCATGATCACAAGCTTTCTATACATTCAAACCATGTACTCAAGGGCTTTGGGATTTGAATGCCAAACTACTGTGAATATTTGGGAAAATCCATGTTCTAAGCAGTCAAATTGTTAGCTAAGCAGTTGCATTTTGACGAATTCATTTCTTCTTCTTTTTTTCCATTTATAATTTAGACGTGATATGAAAATATTAATGTATTTATACTTTATTTATTAAAATAAAATCACTACTTTCTTTTTTAAAAAAAAAAAAAACCTTGTAATGATGTTGCTACAGCGAAAGAATTGTTGAGATTATATTTATAAGGTGACCCACTATTAATTTGTCAATATGAACAAGAGACTAAGGTATATGCAATCATTTCGAAGAATTTATTTATAAATTATTGAAATAAGGTCTGATTTTTTGTTTTACTTTTCTCCTTGATGGTTCTTTCAATCCTCTTGCATTTCCAAATTGACCTCGTTCGTTGTCAAGGAATAATGGACGTGGTTGGTGCCATGACTTGTTGGGTTTAGGTGGGAGCTTCTTTTCAAAATCTTGACTAAAAATCTCAAATAAACCATTTTCTTTGCAAAATAATAATTAGTTAACATGTAATTCCTGTTTGAATCCATTGATTTAAGTGATCGAAATTGTTTGTTTTTGCATAAGAAATACTGTTTTTCAAATAATTGATTTTGTTTAAAATTAATTTTTTTTAATGGTTTTAAATTGTTTGAATATACTAATATTAAAAATAAATTTTTAAAAAATAATATATATATATATATATATATTCAATTAAAATACACTTTTAAAAATAATTACCATCGCAATATTTTGCGATATTAAACATCCACATTATCTAGGAAGATTGGCCGTCTTTTCCATCATTTCTTTTCTATTGGTACGACTCAAGAGGTATATATATATATATGGCTTTTTATTATTATTATTAAATTGGAGGGATGAATTTAATTTTATAATTTTATCTAAAATAAATACACGAAAGCACCATCTAATTGAAAAAAAAAAAAAAAAGGAATTATTTGTTAGCTTGTGATTCTATTTCGAGAAAGATTGTTAAACCGGTGGATGTACCCTTCCTATCTTTCAAGATTAATCTGCTTATGATCCGGGTTGCTGTTGAAGATGAAATGTTTCAATTAAGAACAAAAGTATTTTATCAACCTCCTCAATAAATAATATATCCAAACAATATATTTTAAAAATAAAAAAAACGAGTTTGTATGCTCAAATTTTGAGATAAAACTAGCATGTTACTCCGCACCCGGTCAATAAAAAAAAAATTAAATTATAAAAAATATCAAGAATATAAAAAATATTTTAAATATTTCAAGTCTAATATCATGCCAAATATAATAATTTTAAAATACCTGGTCATACTTTAACCCAACATGTACCAAAAATTTTTAAAATAAAAATTAAAAAAATAATGCCTCTCATGATTTTCTAAATATTTACAATATAATTCATAGTACAAAAACTCTGTTTATAATATAGTTTATAATATAAATACTATATATAAAAATATACAATACTAGCGTAGTAATTTTATCATGTATTTTAAAGTATAGTATAATATATGTGTATGTTCGGAAAGATCCCCCTTATGGTACGGGTGCAACCTGGGAAGGTGGAAGTAGAGCAAGATCCAGTGGCTTTATTCTATTGTATTTTTCAATTTACGAACTGAGCCGAAAGAATCAATCTGTCTCTTGCAGTGGCAAAAAGAGACGTGGTCTCAAATAAAATGCTTAGTGATTTGTGAGGGAAGAGTGGGTGACCACGTGGTCCCATTTTTAAAGCCCGTACAATATAACCGACCTGCCACATGTCTATGTATTTTATCACTAATATATAGAAGTTAGTATTGTAATAATAATTGTTTTTTAAAATATTTTTTATTTGAAATATATTAAAATAATATTTTTATTTTATTTTTAAAAATTTATTTTTAACCTCGACATTTTAAAATAATATAAAATATTAAAAAAAAAATAAGATTTTTGCGCACCGACTCTTTCGAGCGAGCGGCGGTCCCAAACCACGAGTAATCAGTCCCGCTATTTAAATTGCTAATTAGTCGCAGTTTTGGACTTCCACAACAATGTGGCTAGCATAATCTATGCAAGTCAACGTAACATTTGTCGTCATTATTATTATTATTTCCATGAACGGGCGAGGAAGGCACTTCTGTCTTAAAACCCCCCCCAAGTGCTTGTAATTTAGACGTGTCGATTATAGTTGTATTCATTCTTACATCGATTTTTTATATCACCAATAGATCCGCTTGTTCGGTAGCAGCACGTGCAAACAAATCTCCACACCTTGATCTTGTTTTTACCTTTGAAACGGGTCTTTCTCTGTGCTGTACTCTCTTTTATCCTAGAGGTGGTGAGGTTCTGTGGTTTTGTAAGGGCAATGCGTGAGTGTTCATATCCCATCAACACCTTCATCTTGTTTCTACCTTGGTCTCACGGGATTGATGCCTGATAAGTGCTAATTGCTACCGTAACTTCAAATTATGAGTGAACACAAGTGCAAGGATGCTCTTTTAACATGTTCAGTTATTACAACATCAAATCAAATTTATACCCTTTCAGGGTTGTGGTTCTTCCAGCATGACAGTTATGTCGTCGCATTTACACGGAGACACTAGACATCTCTATGTATATGTATTGTAAATATAGAAATTCAATCTAAATTGATCTCAAAAGTAAATTTATTTTTTATCTCCATCATCTCGTCTCTTCAACCAGACATGTGTCTGACATGTGTCTATTTCTTCTATATCCGTCAGTAACCAAATGCAATCTAAAGTGAAGTAAATTTGTTCAACATCCAACCTTAAAAATCTCAAATCTAGGATCAAGTGAAATAAAGTTTGTTCCACATCCAAACCTTGAAAATCTCAAATCCAGGATCAATTGGAGAGTGAGATTAAAGCAACTCGAGGAAGTTTTTTTCTCATTTCAAAAGTGAAAGTAAGTTTTTTCTCAATCTAGTCTTCTTATTGAAACCAGGAGAATGATGAATACCAATCCAAATTGAGGGTCAACAAAGTTTTCAAGGATCAGAACTGGAACAGCATCTCAGGTGCATATCCAAGAGCTTCGAGGTGAGCTGCCATGGCCTTGTTCATTGGTGGTGGTCCACACCTTAGAATCTGTGGATCGCATGATGGAAAATTAGTAGCAATTGTTGTAATTTTCTTTCAAGTATATTTTATCTTTCCCTGATTTCTCATGATGTATGTAAGAAAATCAGAAACATACCTTGATATCAGGTGCTGGTGCAGGGCAGTAGGTTTGAATCATTTCCTTTGATACAAAGCCAACACCACCATCCCATGTTTCGGGAGGCTAAGGAGAAAAAAACATCCACCAACACAGTTTGGTTAATCAAACAGTCAACATTGACTATACCACATAAAACAGACATCTATAACCCATTATGCGTGATAAACGTGCTTCAGCATGAAGGACCTACCAGCAGAACAGTAGCTATAATGCATGCACAAGCTTGTGCAAACATGATCATGCCATCAAAATGTAATTCATCCAATACAAAATTCAATAGATTTAATCAGTTTCTCATGGTTGTATCACAGGAATTTGCTTGAAGCAGCTATAAGCTGGACAAGGAACTCATGTTGATATTCCATTTAGGATTTCAAGACCATTTTTATCTTAAATTATGACCAGCACAGCACAATATTTGTGCCCCAACAAATTGTGAGAAGATTTCATCGAGGCTGGGTTGGGTGGGGTGGGGTGGGGTGGCTGTTGAAGTATAATTTTCAATATACAGCCAGGCTAAGCAAGGACTCTCTCCACTATCTATTGTATTTGGAAAGGTAGCTGAGCAGGGAAAAAAGTCGTAAAAGAAACTAATAAGCAAGTTGCAATCTTCAAGGACTTCCCTACAACATGACCTAGAGAATACGAGAGTCTCACTTATGA